TTTAACAACGGTATATTTTGTTATGTTTGTTTAATCTCTACTTATTATATAGAGTATATTTCAAGAAGGTATAATTCGGTAAATTAAAGTTACACGTTAAAGTAATCGCGTCAGCTGAAGACTTAAAAATACCTAAACGTCCCGTTCCATTTCCAAGAGGATCTTCTGAAACAAGTCCACGGCCACTCGGTTCATTAGCCACGAAAGCCAGCCGGTTGGATGCATTGGTCAGCGCTTCGTGAGGAAGTCGCATTCAAATTTTCTTTATTTCCCCCATCGGTCGGAGGCGGCCCTCGTGGCTCGGGCTAGTGGATAGCGCGTGCGTCGTCTTACTTTTCCCTCGGCCGCGTTTCCATGGAATCCGGATGCGCCGCGGAACGCAGCTCCGACCGCCACTGGCCGAACAAGCCAGGGACACTCGCCACGACACGCCACGACACGCCACGACACGCCACGACACGCCACGCCACGCCACGCCACGACACGATACGACACGATACGACACGATACGACACGATACGACACGATACGACACGATACGACACGCCTCGACACGCCTCGACACGCCACGACACGCCACGACACGACCTCACACCCCCCTTCCCGCCTCGTCAAAAGAGCGTCCTCTTGATTAGCCGTTCCTCTTCACTTTTATTATTATTTTTTTCTATGTCAAGCTTCTTATTTTTGTGGCCAAGACTTTTTCATAGGCCTTGCTGTAACCATTTGCTGTTTAGGTTCCGTTCTGAAAATACTCCTTGAAATTTCTTCGAATCAGTACTCCTCATTACAAGTTTCGTCAGGTCCTGAAAAAACAGATTGCCAGTGGCCTACGCAATCAATTCCAGCTGCTTAAAAAAAATTGAATTTGGGCATTTTATGGTGAATACTGATTACTTTCTCACTTTCCGTCATATGTTGTACCAGTCATTTTCGGGTTTTGATGTGGATAAAAGAAATTAACTCATTAAATTTTGTTCTGTCTCACTGAAAACAATTAGTTCTGAATTCTGAATGAATGTTTTGTGTATGATTAACATAAATATGTTTGATATTACTTCTATTGTGATACATTCCTCACTGTTCAACGTGACAGCTTATAATGTACACAGATTTAATCTTCTTGCAAAAATAAAATTATATCACTAATGCATTTGAATCTGGGGATATTAAAAATCACGTTCTTGGATTTGGAAGGAATAGAAGTTGATTTTGCTTCCTATGTCAAGTGAGATGCCTACAGACAAGTTTTACATTCGTGTTTCTTTCCCGTAATCATTCAACGCGGATGTTGATCGACTTAAGCGGCAACGAGGTGATGTGGAAAAAGTTGTTCGACGTAAAATTTGTAGATGTGATCAGTTGATAACTAAGAAATTGGATGGGGACTTTGATGGCTTAATCGTGAGTGTAGGTATTTCCTGCTGCTACTTTTTTCTTCTTCTCTGCTTAACCACTTTATTTATTACCACAAACTTTCTACTATATTTTCCGTGTCGTGTAACTTCGTAGTATTATGCGTAAGTATTTTAATTCATTGGGGTAGAATCGAAGCAAAAGTTTATTTCTGTTTTACGTTGTCGGTATGTTACGTTGTACGTAAAGTTCATTTCTGTTTACTAGATCACGAGTCCACGAAGGGACCACATTGGTAAGCCGGAAAACAAATCTTCAAGCAAAGCGACGGCTTTGCAAAAGATTGAAGCATTTTGTTAATACTACAAATGATCGAACTGTTAACGAATGCACAGACAAAATGCGTGCTTGTACGTAACCTGCTGTTATATTACAAGCCGTGAACAAAAGGTAGTTGTCAAAGCGGTACCTACTAAGCTCTCTACTACACCAAAAGTTACCATTGCCAGTAGATTCTGAAGCTGAAGAAAACGAGCGCAAATCATACTTCCCCACCATACGTCACATACAGTTTTCACTGTTCTTTGACTAAACACAGTAAAAATCTGTCTTAGCCGGAACCTTACCCAGAAAATTTCTCTGGCTTGTGAAATTAAAAAGGCATTTTACACAACATAAAACGAAATCTATCTCGGAAACAGAACGGTTTTCATGTCCTGCAGGGGAAATTTTTTTCATAAAACGGAATTTCCGCGAATTTAATACATTTGACAGAAGTATCGTTGTGAATGTATCTTCGTCTGTTTTAATTTCTCCGTCCGTGATAAGTTTGGCGTGGCACTCGGACAGTAACTGCGAGGAGCTTCAGTTGTCAGCGTATAATTCTACGCTTGTCTCTCAAGGCGTAGAGGAATTTTTAGCTCTCTGAGCATGGGAAAATGCATGGGCATGGCTTGTATTCACGCACCTACCAGCCCCGCGGTGACAATCCCGCGTTGGTCAAGGCTTTGCGAGTGTATTACAATGACATAGTACTCTGGGTATTGGGTGTTGAGAGCCAGCGAACGGTCCGGGTGCAGCCACTAGGCAGTCAGGTGTTGTGAAACTCATAAAAACACACCAAGTTCCACAATGGTTGGAGAAAAATATAAAACCTTACATAGTAAAAATTTCTAACTTCAGAAAACTTAATTGAAAAGGTGTTGGTAAGTGGAAAACCGAAAAACCAAAAAAAAACTGTAAATGAAATGTTCGAAAAAATACTATTTTTTGTGCACAAGTTGTAACGTTTATCCATTATAACTGCCAGAAATATGTGAAATATTCATTTACTGGTGATTTAGTCCATACATATGTCGTATGTAAATGTTTTTTATAAAACATATAAAGTGATGTAATTTACTCTTTTAAGGACAGAAATATCAGTATAATTAGTGTCATTAAAGGAACAACCCTCCATAAAGCGGAAACCTTCTTAAACCGGGATAATTTTTGTTCCGATAGATTCCGGCTTGTAAAGATTTTACTGTAAATCAAATCAAATCAGTGCCACGACCACCCAGCGACGCCCCTGGCGACTGTCACCCCCTCGCTTTGTGCGCCTTGACAGCTCCATCGCCACCCCGACCGCGCCCCCTCCGTCGTCGCGGGCGTCCTCCGATGTATCCGTCCTCGCGCCTCGGGCCCCCGGTCGCACAGTAGTGGCGCGGACGCTTCCGCCCCGCTCGAGCGGGGATCCGCGCCCGTCAACCGGAACAAAGCCGCCTTTCAGAGAGCGCTGCGCAGCGCGGAGCGCAGCGACGCACAGCCCGGGGCGAGAACATGAGCGCTGCGGGATGCGGGGTGGGCGGGGCGAAGAGGAGTGGGAGGGATGAAACGGGATGAAACGGGATGAAACGGGATGAAACGGGATGGGACGGGATGGGACGGGATGGGACGGGATGGGACGGGATGGGACGGGACGATGTAGGACGATGTAGGACGATGTAGGACGATGTAGGACGATGTAGGACGATGTAGGACGATGTAGGAACAGCGAGGACGGATCTGCGATTCAGCGGGGAAGCGGCTCCTTTAGTGGAGCGGTGCGGAGACGGCAGGACACTTATGTCATCGGAAGCATATTCAGGAAACAATGGGAACCAGAGTGGGAAGGAGGGCACAGCATAAGCATGGGTATCAAGTGAATGAGATGTGTCGAAACCGTAGGTAGAAAGATGATACCGAAAATTCGTGGTTTCCTCAATTCGATATTTCTACCTTCGGGGAAATGCATTGTTAGTAAACAGCTTGACTGTTCTCGACACTGGTCTCGTGAAGAAAGATAGGCAAGAAAATAAAACACTGCAAGTAATTAGGAAGAGAGGAGCGAAAGAAAATATATAATTACATGAGCTTTATTCCACGTGATGCCGTTTGATGTCTGGTTTTGAATAGATGAAACGAGTGGAAGCCGTTACAGTCAACAAATTACATAACAGCTGCATATACTAAGATTATTTATAATAAGCTAAAATAAGTAGCACTCCCATTTTGTGTTGGCAGAGGGAAGAACTAAAAGAGAGAATCACATCGTGCAATTTTCTAGATTTACTTTATTTCTCGGCAACTATCGTAAGAGCAAACATTTACAAGCGTGTCTATCCATTATTCATCCAATGGTTGAGCGAACAGAGGAAGGCGTAAAACCACAAAGCCACAAAGACGTACAACTCTTAATCGGGCGGCCCGGAGAAGACGTATTTGGACCCATTTCGAAAATAAGAAAACGAGAGAACGGAAAGGGTAGAGAATGGGATGAATTGGGTTAGTGAATTTTTAGATGACGGCGATGAAGCAGGTAAATTGTGGTGCCTAATGATGTAATCCCACTGCGAAAATCATGGTTATCATTTTGGGATCCGAATAGGTATCTTCCTACCTTATCTTCTCAATCTTAACGGCCATGTGAAACGTCTTGAGCCTGATTGATAATCGCTTGATATATGAAATACTTCGTTTGTGCGGTCTCTACAGTTCTTAGATCTTGCTCCTGGAACTCCTAGATCATCCACTGTCTCTGAATCACTCTAGTGCAGTGAGGTGAATGTCGAATTTGGTCTAAATTATTTGATAGTGTATGTCATATCATAATTTCGAATCCTGTGGAGAAACAAGCTGTCTGTACAACGAAGGAAATATTACTGAATAAGAGCCTGACCGGAGATCGGTACGCTCCATGCAGCTTCCTCAGCAGCTGTCGGGAAATTTCAACTTAGTTGGCCGTGAAGACATTTTTTTCTCTGCCGGTTGCGCCTGCGGTACAACGGTGCCCCTGCGTAGGGCTTTTAACACGACGACGACGACGCGGAGACAGGAGACACGATGACAACCGGATGCGCGCGCGAGAGAAATAGGACGAGTGAATAGGAAGGACGGGCCGGTCTAGTGGAGGAGAAAGGCGGGGGCGGCGGATGCTCTGTTTTTGTACGGTACGACCGAGAAATTTCTATGGAACTGGAGCTTCATGGTTTCCTTGGCATTTCGAACCACGAATGTGTTGTTTTGGGAAAATGTGGTGTTAGTGGGACACTTATTTGGTTAGATGGTTTTGAGCCAGGAAGGTAGTTAAGAGAAACAACTTGAAATGCAAGTTTATGATGAGAATGGAAGTTGAAAATGCAATCAGGTGGGGAAAGGAACAGGTAGAGGAATATTATTGCTTGGAATAATGACATTGGGCATCTTATTGATACTATGATCGAGAAATAGATGTCGGTGGATTTGTGCAATATTACTCCAGGCATTCGTCTGGAATGCATCGGTAGAAACCACGGGAATGCACCATCTGAACTGCGAGCCTTCTCGATGGTTGACGTTGACCTACCTGTGTAGCCGTAATCTAATGTTGACCACCCTTGGGATTTGAATTTAGAATCTGCAAGGGTGACAAGTAGTGGGTGAATTCCAACTCCGTTCTAAGTATGTTATTGTTGGCGAAAATAAAAATTAAAAGAAACGACAGAATAGACAGACCTGTGAAAGAAACGGAACCCACATAACTGATATTGTTCTGTCTGCATATTGACATTGACTGAAACGGTGATGTATTGAGTGAGTGAAGCACTGAAATAGTTACTAGCGAGATCCTATCAAGCTTTTCCTCGGAGGTTATGAGTTTGTCCTCAGTGTTTTTTCTGCTCGGACGTAGAGGTTAACTGTTTTGATGTTATCTCTTTTTGAACGTTCTGCAAGGCCTTTTCCGGTTGTACCTTGTACACGACAATGAGTGTGAGTAATTCATTATGCATTCATGTGATTTTCGTGAAGGTCATACTCGCTTAAGATGAATAACTGTCCCTTGAGAACGCTCTGATATCTGGTCTCTCACGACTTCCGCAATGATAAGGTCTTCGAATGCTCTCAGTTGTGTGCCCCACCACATGTGCAGGTGAACAAACAAGTGTATGCATTCTGACGCTGGCATGTGCCACATTTAGCCCTGAGATTCGCGTTGAATTACGTATGTTCAAGGTGTTTTTAATGTATTCATAGTATATGTAAATTACGTTAAAGGATTTCATGCATATTTAACACATAAACTGAATATATTAATAAACTCCCGTTTCAAAAATGTTTCAGATAATTTTATTAGTTGTAGAAAAGCTAATATATTTTTTATTTTAATAAATCTCTTGCATGTACGTGCATTTTGTATCTCTAATTACCATTACATTTAATGTTATCGAAGAAAGTAGTAAACATGCTTAAAACTAAGCAAATACAGATACATGATGTATATATAAATATAAATGTTCGCAGGCATTTTATAAATAGTTTATTCAAGAAATGTCCTGTAATATTTTCACAATTTAAAATTAGTTAAGTTAAAAAAATGTTTACGCGGTTTTTAGTTTCACATTTTCCTAAAATTCGTTAACTTACTGGTTAATAAAATTATGCTAGTAGTATACAACTAGGACATAGGGCTGAACACCACTGAATACATTATGTTTTGGATTTTAAAAAAATCTGCATACGAATGTAATGTGCAAGTTTCAGGGTAATAATTTCACATTATGTTAAGTGTTTTTGTACCATTTTTAATGTATAGTTCAGTTTGTGAATTAAAGGTGGGAATATCATACTGGCAGGTATGAATATCTCAGAATCGTTGCAATCGAGAAGGGAGAGAGTGCTCCATTTTCTCTCCTTTCCTTTCGCGTATCGGTGCACTGACCACGTGCAACCCGACTAATGTTTGCCCCTCTTTTTTTTTTGTTGCAGCCGTCGCGATGCACTTCTTCTTCATGGCAGCCTTCCTGTGGCTCAACACCATGTGCTGGAACATCTGGTGGACCTTCAGGTAACAGCGATAGCATCAACCTTGCGGTTAATAGGAGCTTCTGGGGGGGGGGGTGTTTTGGAAGGGCGAGGCGCCAGCAAACACGTATTTTTTTATAACAAACTCTGATAAGTTGCGTGACGCCGTGGCCTCCTCCTCCCCGCCTTCTCATCTTTCCATATCGCGGATCACTTATCCGCCCGGAGGAAGGAAGGGGTTGCGTGGCCTCCAGACATCGCATTGTCTGGTTCCAGAGAAAATGACATAGAAAGTTAAATGAGTGGGACAGTGAAGAGAAAAGTGAGAGAAAATCCCATTTAGAAAGATTTTCAGCTTCCATTGGTTTTAAAAAAAAAATTATATTTCCATCATCGAAATTATATATTATGAAGTACGGTAATCCATGTAACAAAGGTGAACATTCACTTTCTTACTTCCAAGACAAAGAACGTAACGATAATGAATCCACATTCATTTCTTTCCTTCTCGCAAGCCAATGTGGCCGGTGGTGGCGGAGAGGTACGAAGTAATTGGTATTCGTTCTTGTAACTTGCAATCTCCTAACACGTCTGTTCTAGACCACGTCAGAAAAATAACATAAAAATTCAAATTTTCGATAGAATACCGTAACTTGTGTAAATAATGGTGTTGTTTTTAAGGTCCAATTTGGCAGGTCCTTGGACATGGTTTTTAATGACCAGTGGCGACTTCTTAGGGAAGTATCGTACGAATCATGAGACTCCTCACAAAAAAAAAAAAAAAAAAAAAAAAAAAAAAAAAAAAAAAAAGCTGAGAAATATGGATATATTTTTTTAACTAAGACATTGAAAATACTATTGGAATCCACCAAGAAGAATTTCTTTAGTAAGGGATTTGAATCTCTCATTTTAGAAATTGTTTTCATTCTAGCATACCTATACGAGAACTCTCACGGGTCGGACCCCCAAAACTATATCAGAAAGATCCAAACGATCCCATTTTGTGTATTATGCCGTGGGGTACAAAATTCGAGGGCTTTTCGCTTGGAAATGCTGGAAGACACCAGGACGCACTGTTTTAGTTACGTAAGATCGATGTAAACACGTTACGTTGTTAATTAATTGTCGGATGTCATTGCGGGTGGCTAATTTTGATTGTGGCGGGTGGCGTTTTTCTCCAAATTTTAATACATCTTACGAGCAATTCATCACAACTCCATGAAAATGTCTTTGTTTTGAACCCTGTTTCTTATGACTGGTCGGAAATGAGATCTGCGAAACATATCTACTATATTACTGGAATAATATGTCATTTGGAAAAAGTATGTTAAGAAATACTACATTTATCCATGACTCCCCGTCTCAAAATTGAACATGTAGATCTGCTCGTGTCAGTGACACTTACCGCACTTATTTTTAGATCGCAATATAACAGTCTTATGCTTTTTTCCATTGAAATATCGCGCATCAGATCTGAAACCATCATGGTTCCCTCGGGGGGAAAGCGAGTCGTGGGAGGGATGCTAGCTGCATCGCTGGCGGCGGCGCTGCCGCCGTGTTGTGTTTTTTATGGTCCCGCAGCAACCTTGAGCCGAATTCTGTGCCCGAGGACCCTCTGGATGTCCCTCCCCTCCCCTCCCCTTCACCCCTCCCCTCCCCACCGGGAGGGTTCCATTCAAGAGGAAATGCTTTCATCGAGGCCTACCTTCTGCCGGAACGCAGCCGCCGCAGATGCGGAGGACGGATTCGGCCCCGCGCCGCCGCCTCCACCGCCTCCACGGTGGCACACAAAAGCCCCGGGGAACACGGGTCTCTCTTGGGCGGGCCCGGCGGAAATTCGCGTTAGATGGCGCGGTGTATTGGGTGACCCGGAACGCGCCAGGTGGCGGCAGGGAGTGGTGGAGGTGGGGATTGTGCCTCCTTAGAAAATTTTAGGAAAAGTATCATTTGTTTCTGTTCAGCTATGTGACTGAAATGACGAAGATTGGATTAGTGTCTTCCAGGAGTATAAGAACGGAGGGTTCTATTTGGCGGGATGCTTGTAGTTGTCGCACCAAACAGCGCGTTCTCGATAATATTGATGGTATCGACGTAATTCGTTATTGGAAAGGAAGGAGCTGACGGTCCACTAAGCAACGCCAGCAAGTAAAACGAATTTGTACTATTTTCTCGGTTTAACAAGTACAATTGTAGAGTCGATTTCAGATATACAGTGTCAGTTGGCTAGTCCCGTCACATTTTTTTCTTCTCGTGAAAGGCAACCTTGTTTTAAATTCTAGGTCTGCAATTTCGTTTGTCTCAGGTGGTCATTGAAGTCTGTCCTCAAATCTGTAATTTACAATAATACCAAAATAAATGTACCATGAGGGAACCTTGCTTCCTATAGTTTTTGTTTAGTACACCTCAGCTTTAATCAGCTCCACAATAGTTACGTCATCTATGTACAAGTAACATGCATAAATGAAAAACATTTTCAAGACTTCACTGACAAAGATCTTTGTTGTAGTATTGAGAAAATTGTTGACAGTCGGCAAACAATCATAGATTGAATCAAGAAATGTATAGATTATCCTTGTGAATGGAAGTTTCACGAACACTGTATTGCATATCTAAGAGCAAATAGCCAGGTTACGTGACAGGATGTGAATCGCGTTGTTCTTTGAGATCATCCAAGGCCGCATATTTCTTGCGATCATTTGTTTGATGCGGCGTTCCGGCACGAACAATTAAGCGTGGCCGCTCCGTGGAATGACAATATCCAAGCGATTGTTTGCGCTTATAGTGTCCTATGGTTGCGGCAACCCAATGCTCTACCGTGAGAGTAAGAAACCGAAAGGCGTTCTAATGATGCAATGAATAGTGTTTGTCTTACCGGGAGTTACGAGGATAAAGATCAACGCTGTTTAGTAATGCAGTTCCTGTAGTTTTGCGGAATCTGAAGGTAAACTGCCTTTGTTTATTGGTTGTTGTTTTCCAAAAAAATAAAGGTGTTTCGCATTTTACGTAAGAGGCTTTAGCTTATAACCCCCTGCATTTCTACACTCTCTGTTCATAATAATTCATCCTGCATGTGAAGTGCAGTTGAACAAAAATTTAGATTGATTATGTTTCTTTTTGTTTTAAGGTAATCATAAATGTTTTATGAATTAGACAGTTTTATCATTATTATTTTTATTATTCATGTTATTTTTATTATAATTATTATTTCATTATTATTATTACATAATTTGGATGTTAGCTGTAGTATTTTATTTATGTAGTTAGCTGCCACCGGGTTATGCTCTTTGGCAGTTCAAATTTATCTTTATCTTATCCTACCTAATCTACATTCGAATACAATTATATAACTTATTTTAATATTGAACCTGTATCGGCATGCGTATGGTAGAAGATGGTATTGAAAAGAGGAGAAAATTCACATAGGGAAACAAATGGTGCTGCAACAAGACGTTTTTTCTCAGAATATCTTGTTCGATGCGGAAGATGGTTTAAGAACAGTTTTTGTGCATGCTATTGATGTGTTTACGATAGTGTTGATCTTTAGTTACGAAACTAATTCAAAACATTAGGTAGGGACGAAAATCGATAACTATATGCTTTTCATTGATTTCCTCTGAGTAATAACGTGTAAAGCGGGATAATCTTAAAGGAAGATTATATTTTGCATATATATATATATATATATATATATATATATATATATATATATATATATATATATATTGCAAAATATTGCATGTTTTGTGAGGAGTAGTGAAACTGATGTTGGGTAAATGCATAATGAATACCAACCCTTGGAAATGTTTTCAAAGAATCTTAACTCAATAGAAAAATATTTGAGAATTTGCATATCTTTGATTTGCACAGCCGCGATATTGATAACATGGTGTGAAATGTATGTAGGTTTGTATACAAACGTCTATTGATAACTTTTATCGCATTGACACGTGTAGTACAATATTGCCTGTGCATGTCAGACGACAGGTAACATATTCTGAAGTCGATATTTGTTAGTGGTGCAAAGCTTTTGTTATTTTGTTGGGTAGAACGATTTAATGATATTTTATATGCACACTTTGTGTCGTGAAAACATTGCGGAGCTTTTGCAACTACCAAGGAACGGTTTTCGATGCATTCTCAATTACCGAATTGAAACTATTTTTTTCAAATTATAATTTCGAGTTAGAGACGGGAGGAGCGAAGGTGAAGAGTAGGGTTTAGAGCAGAGGGAAATGAAACGAAACAGGGCCAAGACAAAGGCAAATAAACCGGTTGGGATGGATCTGGACTAGATTAGGATGGAGCGGGATGATTCGGGACGGGATAGGGTCAGGTGAAATGGATCAGAAGAGCTCGGGATCGGGACAAGATTCATACGGAGGGAATATAATATGAGTTTGGGACATGGAAGAACAGGGAGGATATGACAGGATATTGCAGGATATGATAGGATTGGAGAGTAGGGTAGGATGGGGCAGGATTGGATAGGATATAATAGAATAGCTCGGGGTGAGGTAGAAGGGGACTGGTCGGGGTGAAACGGTACCAGTCGGTACTAGACCAATTACTGCACGGTGAAGCGGTACTAGATATCCAGATAGCCACGGCACTAGCGTCAGAAAGGACGAAGGGGCTCCGGGGCAGGACCCGGAGGCGGCGGCCGCCGCGAAGGAGGAGGGCCCCGGGCGGCGCAGCGGGCGGGGCGGGGCGGGGCGCTGGAGTCGCGGTGCCGCGTGCCGCGTGGCGCCCACAGCTAACGAAGCCGAGCTGAGCTAATGGCGTCCCGCAGATGGCGCCCTGCCCCCGCGTCCCTCGCCCGGCGCACCGAGCCTATCAAATTGCGGCTGCCGTGCGCCGGAGGACTGCGACACTGCTCGCGCCCCCCCCGCCTGTTCTCGAGTGCTCCCGAGGGCGCTCACAAGACTTGAAGAGAGTTCACGAATACTGTGGGCACGTTGCGAGTCTATTTCCGAAGGAACCACGAACACGGTCAAAGCCAAGAACCGCCGTGAATTCAGTGCTATTGGAAATCTCTGATATCCCGGATTTGATTTATTCCGTGTCGCCTTGTAAACTCGTTCGAGATCTGCGCGTACGCAGGTGCTTTTCTGCAGAAGGTTCTCTATAAATGAGCCCACTGGAAGAATGGTTTCCATATTGGAGCTTGTAAGTGTAAGTTTAACTTTCATAAATATAAGTTCTGTTACTCCCACTCAATTCTCACTGTCAACTCAGTTTGTTTTTTTTTTGTTGTTGTTGTTGTTTTTTTTAATACCGGATTTTCCTCTACTGGTTTTCACACCTTCACCTTTACCTAATCACATTTGAAAAGGTGTTCGTTTGCGAGAACCTCATTGTGTTTGATAACCCGATATTTTCCTTTTAACCTTCAGATTAGAGCCGGTTTTCCTGTGCTCTGTTTCAATTAAACCTTATTTATCCTAAAATCCAGTGACGTTAGTAGCGTAGTAACTTAGTAGGTTGGTAGTTAGCGTAGTAAGTTTAGTAGGTATGAAACGCGTATCATAACACATAAATACCAGATGCTCATTCCCTTTCTTCTTTTTCTTAAACCATTCTGCATTTCTCAGCAGTACTAAACATTACCTACTACTAAGAGGCTGAAATGCATTTCTGTAAAGGCACCCTACTTTCTGTAAAGGTTTCTACCAAGCAACATGTAATGTCAGTGTAAGGAGCGCTCACAGGTGTTTGTGAATTGGCAAACACGCCATCGTAATTTCCAGTTCGGCAAAACCATTGTAAATTCAAATCGATTCATCTTTCCGAGACAAGGTAGTTAGTTTTCCTGCAGTAATGTTACGTTCATTTCATTCATTACCCTATCTTCGCACCTAGTACGGTTAGCAATTACTAGCCGGTTCAGAATCACGGACTCTAAATAAGTGCTGACCAATTACGTATTTTGATACGGTGCGCAGTGTGACACTTCTGTAACAGTACGGAACGCTGGATTCATTGCCCAGACCACTCTCCACACAACCCTCTTCTCCTGACATCGTTCCGACGAGGAGTGAATCAGCAAGTCTCTTCATATCGCATTAGCACTTAGGATTGCAGGTGACCTTAAGTGAGTGCTTACTCCTTTCGCAATTTTCTGCCGGGACGGTTGCATCCGCCTCCAGAACGTTGATGCGACCTCAGCTGGAGTGCGTAATGACCGCCTTCCTGTTAATACACGTTCCGCTGCTTCCAACGAAGACGCACTCCTTTTAAGAACAGCCGCCTACACAGACTAGGCCGTCTTCAGCAACCCAGAGAGTAAAGCAGCTCGTCTTTTTGGAGGGCAAGGATTGTAGAGAGGCAAAATATGAATTAGCGACTAGAGTACCCGAAGAGTAGCTAAATAACATTGTGACAAAGGGTGGGGCACATAAGGTCGAAATGGTCGGGGCCTGTCGCAGCATTTACTTCATTATACACCAAATGCGTTTTTAAACGGGAAGAGTTATCCTACGCGAAGTTTTATTTAATAGGTTTTGCGTGAAGGTGATGTATGGTGAACATCCCATAAAGCAAACAAAGGGAATTATTTAATATTTGTTTTTCAAAGACCGTTTTCCAAGTCTTTCTTTTAAAGCCTAAATGAAAATTTTATCAACAGAATTAATTGATACCGCTAATTGCTCATCCTATTTGCTCATTCTTCCTTTTTTCGTTTCGCATTTGGTTCTTAATGTGACTAGCTTAGAGAAACCTGAACAGTCAGCCCTCTCAAATTGCAACAATGTTAACTAAAGTAACGTTTATTTTAAATGCCCTGGCTAGCTCGTAGATATAGAAGTAGAAAATATCCAGAAAGAGGTTGTCGTAATGAATATCCAGGAAGTAGTGACCTGATAAAAAGTACCTCAGTGCTACCGTCGTCAGCAAAATTAAAGGGAAAAATGTATAATCATTGACAGAATTGTGAAGATCCATTCTCGCACAAACCCTCTCGAGGTATCGGGTTTCTCCCGTCGACCCCGAGCCGTTAAGTCTTCCGGGCTGCGAGCGCAGAGGAGCTTGTGGGCGGTTGCCCTTGAAGCCGATGGAGTAATGAATGCTCTCGTTTCAGCCATGATAAACGAAGGGTGAAATAGCTTTCCTTTCCCTGGGTCAACGCGAGCCGGATCTCCGCGCTGTGACGTCACTTGGAGAGGTATTCGAAGGGGTCGGCCATCCTCCGGCAGTTGAAAAGATAGAAGACTTTTTGTGAAGGGTAGGCTACCTGAAAGACTTTAAAAGCAAAAGTCTGTAAACATCACCCCTTTTCTCCATCTCGCCCTCCCGAGATTGACAAAGGGACCTTGGGGCTCAGGTTTTACCTGGAGCTGGTATTCGGGAGGATTGGAGGATATTGACGAAGGTGAGAAATAGTCTGCTTTTGTGAACACAGACGATCGTACGAGAACAAGTCTTCGCATCGCATTGACATTGGCCTAGTCCGTCTGCATTCATATTTGACGTTTTTGCCTAGAATGTTTGGTCATTGATGTCCAATTCACGACTAGTTGTAGGAATAGTTTGAGAAGAAGGCAGTGAGCAAACTTTAAGGTTTAGTGGAATGCGAATTGTGCTAAACAAGTCAATGTTGTCAGTGCATGTGATCATTTTCAATTATTTGTATTTTCAATTCTCAAACGGAATAGTATGAAAACTCGGGAACGTCGACTTGTATAAACTATTAATCCCTACAGCTATGTTTCATTTACATATTTGTAAATCAGTGGAATGTTCTTCAAAACTGTAACGATTTAAGGCTACGAACACCTCAAAAGGGTGTAAATGAGCAATTTCTTTTCGTGATTATCTTTTAATTTCATTCCTTTCTTGGGAGTTGAGTCCTTCCTTAAGGAATGTTCCGAACTGGCAACCTTAATAAAGCCACGGTGATTTCAGCTAATTAGAGTTGTCTTCCAAGCGGCCTCATGTCATCCAATGTACACTCAGAGGGTGAACGACCTATATAGTGAATATTTAATTAAAAAAATATATTCAGGCTTGCTATTTAATGCGTACTAGGTCTTTTTTTTCAGGAGGAGGATGTGTCAACGCTTTTATCTAGCTCATATCTACTAATTGTGAAGTCTTGCCTTTTCGAATCCAATGAGCAATCTTAGAGACCGGTTGATTTGTTTTAAGGTTCTCAACGGTCACCCGATTTATATATTTTGCGTTTGTAAAGGGGAGGAGCTATAATTTTGTTCAGTTTGGTTAAGAATAGAGTGCATTTGAGTATTTTAAACGAAAATTATGTATAATGATGTAGGATATGTAGAAGATATAGGAAAGTGAGTGCAAGGGAATTGGGAGAAGTCCTTGGAAATCAACCTGTAATCTAATCTATTGACCTTCCATGTGATTACCTTTCTTTAAAAAGCATTTGGGTTTAGAACCGCTCATATTTCAGTAGGGAAAATAAACTCATTCTACATGAAACTATTTTCAAGAAGTCAGAGTAACATCACTAGTATTTCAGAGACTGCTATCTTTCTGCTGTATTTATTATTTTCGTCACTTTTTAAGTGTAAAATTATATTAAAATGCAGTAAAATATGCCTATGCTGGAAGGCCCAAAGCAGTTCGTTTTTAGTAGTAAAATGTTCAAGAAGATGGTTCACAAGACAGCCATACACAGTGCAAAATACTTAGTCCATGACCATTAACTAAACTTAACCTGTTAACATTAAAATCGCTTCCTGCAAAATGACAGTTTTTGGATATGTCACTCTTTGTCCACCAATGAAACGTAGTGAATATCTTCACTTACTTCGCGGCTTGTGCCGTACGTTACCCTAATACCGCGTTTTCACAATGCGTCTCCCTGGAAACGTCAGTCACCGCTATTCCCACCGGAGCACCTCTTGTCGTGAAGTGTTCATCTCTGCAGCGACTGACCTGAAGATCGCAGGTTTCGAGTCACGTCGGAGGCGAATTTTTTTTCATATCAAGTAGCTACATGAAATTCAGCTGTTGAATGGAGAAGAATCTATTGGCCGGCTGCTCTGACAGGCAGTTTCCCGTTGTTACCAGGCGAATGCCGGAGCAGAACCGAATCAAACGGGCCATGAAAAGCGCGCGATTTTTTTTTTCGCTCTCATTTTTGGCCCGTTTTTTCCTCGCACGCGCACTGCACTAACACACATACTGCGAGACCAACCAGTAGCTTAGAGCCCCGGCTGGAGCCGTTGAGGAGATATCTAGAAGGGGAATGCCCCGCCAGCCGACGGGTAGGCTGACGCTGGATGTCATCCAACGGGAAAGGAACACCGCCATCTCCTGATATAAAAAGAAATTCAGTACAGAAACGGGATATGGCCAGGGTTCGGTTTGTATAACGGTTAGCGTATCGGGCTGTTGTACACATGTTTGCGAGTTCAAATCCCATCGAATCCTTCCTTCGGATGGGAAGTAAAGCCGGCTGTCCCATGTTGTATATTTACTGCATGCAGTAACCTCAAGCCTAAAAGAAATCTCGGAGCTAAATTCAAATCACCTTGTTTCTCCGCTAGATGGAGAAAAGAGCGTAGCGAAATTTGCACTATCAGACGGAAGAGTGACCCTGTGCCCCGAGTCTCGCCACGTAAAATAAGGTTATCTAACTATTAACTAACTAGCTAACGACCATATCAGTTCACGTGCCCAGAAATATCTATCAGTCTCGCACGTAGTATCCGTGAAACAGCCACAAACGGCGCTGTCCCTGTGTGGGTGTCGCCCCTGCCTCAGGCCGCTGTTGCTCCTCCGGCACCCACCGAGGTGGAGAAGCAGACTGCGCGTGGCGGAGCGTGAACTGGAACCGCCCTTCCCCTCCCACTCCCCACCCTCCTCTCCCTGTTCCCCTCGCTCTCCCGCAGCTTAACCCACTCCGTGCCTTCGCCCCGGGGAGAAAGTGAAGTCGCCCTCCTACAACTCGATCTCCATATACCGCTAGATGGAAACGGAGATTTTCGAATATAAACCCAAAGGAAATCCCGCAGTCCTCTCGCATCGTTTTTAGAGGATAAAATCGAGTGGCCATATTTTAGAAAATATTTGAATATTCAAGAAAATAGTTTCATTATTTCAGGAAAAATTGGTAGCAAGTTTTGAATGTTGGACTTCAAATTATAATATAAAAGTACTTGTAAACGATTTTATTGAAGTAAAACAAGTGTTTTATC